TGTGACCTGAGGTGGACCTGAGGCCTTAGCCGGGCACTGGTTCTTGCCCGAGGTCTTAGTGTAGTTGTCACAATGTGATAACTTTGATCTCTGGGGCAAGGGAACCGTGGTCACCTTCTTCTTCTTCTTCTTTTCTCTCTCTCCCTCTCTCTCTCTCTCACTCTCTCCCTCCCTCTCTCTCCTCTCTCCTCTCTCTCTCTCTCTCTCTCTCTCATCCTCTTACTTAACAGGTTTCAATTGGTTTACAATCATTTTAGCTATGATCAAAGTATTTTAAGCAGCTATGGACAGACTTTGGTTTTCCACCACTGTGCTGCTGCTGCCCACGTGTCCACGCCTCACCCCCACTCCCCCGGTGGTTGCACGAGCCCCCCGTGGGGGTTTTCATGGGGGTCCCACTGCATGGGGCCCTCCTTCACACAGCAGCTCTCCTTTAGGTGGGATGCTTGGGATTCCTGGGACACTTGTGACATTTTTCATTTCTGTGTGACTCTTTCATTCTCTCCTTTTTTTCTCTTCCTACAAGAAGCACAATTAGAAATTAATACTTTTAAGCTACACCAAGCCATTTAATCCCACTAAAGGAACCTATGTCAAATGACATTAATCACAGGTTAATTTTTAGGGTTATTTCTAGATACAGTTGCTGCTTGGCTGGCTTTCATGAGGAACTGGCTTTAGTCTCACATTTAAATTTTTTAGAACTGGTTCCCAGTGTTGTTGAGGGCCCTTTCTCCAAGCGAGATGAGCCATCAGCTGTCAACCCCGCAGGGCACCCACATTTTACACGAAGGAGAAGAACACAAAATTTCTAAGGACTTGTATTAAAGATGGGTCATACATTTTTTTTAGCAGATGAATCAGTTTTATTGAATGGCCACATGTAGCATTGTCAAAAATGTGGTACATGTTCCAGAAACATCAGCAATGGAGACCTGTTCTCTTTTGAAAATGCAGTCCACTCTGCAAAGGGACTCAGAGCATCATCAAAACCAAATTCAGAACCTGACACAAAGTGTGCCCTTCCTAGTGAAAACTGTCTCGCAAAGAATTTTCAAAAGATCACGTTAGTTCTGCCACAGAAAGCAATCAAGCCTATTGCTCGTGACCAGGGTCAGGAGCAATTCTCATTCAACAAACGTGGTACTTTGTTTGCATGATGACAGTAACTAATCAAGGACACTGTAAGACCTCAAAGGAGAAACGTAGAGATAGAAAACCGCTCTATGTCATTTCTTAAACGAACAATTTTATTTGGCGCAAAAGAAAATTCATTCCACCATATTAAGAAAGATGAGGCCAGTTTTTCAGACATGCTCCTGTTTTTTCTCAGCTTCTTGGCCATGTAATGCCGAGGGTCCAAATATTAGATGAATGGTAAATTCATCTGATTTACCAATCTAATTCATCACGTTAGGTAAATCCAGGTTCTGGAAAAATTCAAACTGTCCTGTCACGTTGCTAAGGAGAGAGCGTTCTTGGCCCGCCCTCTAAGTTCACATAGTTTAATTTCCTATAAAAAGTCGCCAGTGCCTTTTTAAGATGTCGATTTAGTGTTCCATTTGGAGAGTATTGGTTCCAATTCAAAGCAGAGGGTTGATTGGCTATTCTCTGAAGAAAATCCTCCTTTTATGTCTCTTTGAACTCAGGAATGGAAAATAACTAAGAAGCACGTCATCTTCAGATGTGATTTTCATCCCTACTGGGGGTGTGACACGGAGTAGGTACAATGGTGTGTTCAGAATTTAGGTGAGCCCAGCCTCCACTTTTCAGAAGCTGACATCACTTTAATCTTACATCCTCCCAAAAACATCTTAGCATTTGCTCTGTGTAGGAATATCGGTGTGATGCCTGTGGAAGTTACAGGTTTTTGTTACTGTCCCTTTTCAGGCAAGTCTATAGATACAGGAAAATCAGACACAGGCTGGTGACAGCTGCCACAGATAAGGTGAGTGGAAGAGAACCACCTAGAATATTCTCTACTGGTTGTTTCTTTAAGTCAGAAAACTGCTTCACAAGTTCACAAAGTTGTCACTCTTGATTTAGGTTAAGAAAGTTAACTTTTCTCTGCTGAAGTTGATTGTTTTTCCCCTGTACCGTGACTGTTGGCCAAAATCAAACTTGAACTTCTGCCCTTTGAAACAAAGCACAGTACGAACCTTTAACCCAAGCACGTGCATTCACCACCAAAAGTAACACATCATCGGTAAGGAAACGCACAGACTTGGTCCAATGTAGGATTATTCAAAAGTGTGTAACAAAACGTATGTGTTATGCCACTTGACGTGACTTTTGAAAATGTTATGAAATGTTAAACGCCTCATTCTGTGTTAATTTGCTGTTGCTGTTTTGTGATACAAAATAAACTTACCTGGGATTGTTTCATTTTTCTCATCGAACCTTCTCTGAATCCCACTTCAGCCCTTGGTAAACTTGCAGAAAGTTACTGCCCTTAAATTAATTTTTTAAAGGCCATATGTATTAATCATAATGGAGGTTTTCTGGAATGAGACAGCATCACCTTCCCCTTCATCTGAGTAAGAAAATGGAGCTTTGTTTGGCCTCCTGGAATATTTGTGGATGGCCGAGTATTTTCTGATTGGGCCGTTGGGTGCACCACACGTATTTTGAGTCCTTACATTCAATGTTCAAGGTTTCCCTTGAAATGTTAGAATGTGAAATGCGAATTTCCAGTGGTCTTCGCTTTTATCTTTTTTGTCCATCAATTCACTGGTCTGAAATGCTCCCTCGAGAGGTGTCCAGGTCTATGTCTAAAAAAGCGGTTTAATGATACCTGACAGATATTTCGTTTTCAAAAATGAGTTGAAGACACCAGTCGTGGCCGCCGCGGCCGGGCGCTCGTTGCCCGTGACATTGGAACCATTGCGGAAGTTCAGAGAAGGAAGTGGGGGCAGGGCGTTACCTGACCAGTCGACGGACACTGACTGGCACCTGCTCCCAGCCTCAACCCTGAGGAAAACAAACATATTTATGAGATAAAATGAGCTGCTATTATAGAAGTAAAAGTGCCATGCTCATTCACTGCTCTGGGCGAATTGCCAATTTCTATATCCCGAACCGATTCATCTTTTTAAAATAAATAAATAAACAGATTCATGAGGAATGGTTTTAAGAACTGCCACTGATGCAGCAAACTTCCTTTCACAGGAACCCCCTCCTCCCCTCTATCTGGGGCAAAATAAGAGAATCCTGATTCTGTACAGTATAAATTGTATTATATTTTTTGTACTTATGTTTTATGTAAATAGTTTGTCTCATTTAATTGTATGTGAGCATTGAAATAAATCCTACCGTTTAGGAAACCATTTAGTGGCATTTTTCTTTGGATGACCTCGAAGTCCCCCCATGACCCCGGGTGCGCTAAGGCACAGTCACTACCCGAAGGACAGCGTTTCAGCAAAGTGAGATGGATGACCTCCTGGGTGAAACCTGTCACACCTTTCCAGTCAGATCCTGAAGCCTTTGAGTGGCGGGGAAGGCAGGGCCAGCCAGCTTCCTGACTCTGTGAAGCAGTAAAGAGCTTTCAGAAATTTCTGTGGACAATAAGAAGTGTGTGACAAGGAAGGCCCATCAGGATTTTAATTTACAAGAAGTTGGTATCAGGTCCTGCTGATGGGTCCGTTAAGCTATATGATGCTCATCCTCACTCCGGCGCACTATAGTCCATTCTTCTCTGCATAAAGCAAGTTTTCTCCGGCATGGACCCCTGTCTGTCGCTCAGCATGAACACAGCTGGACGATGCCTGGCCCAGAAAAACTACTCTCAAGCAGGCCGACAATCCAGGAGGTGATTAGCTCCAGCTGCACATTAGTATTTTCTGGGGAGTTCTTTTAAAATAACATCACCCCAACCCCACCCCAGACCAAGTCAACTGGGATTCTGAGTATCTTGAAATATTAAAATTTTAAAGCATTCCATGAAGAACTTACATTTGGCTGGTAATTTAGAAAGGGAGTGGAATAAATAACTGTTCCTTTCTTGGAATTTCTTTTTTTCTGATTCTCTGTATTTATAGTGATATAGTCCAATATTTACACATTCTCACACATTGCTCATGTATCTAACTCCTTTTTATAATCTCCATATGTTCTTAAAATTAAATTGAAATATGATTTAAAATATCCTTCTGGACCTATTTGAAATATATAATATAAATCTCCATTTAAAGTGTCTCCTTGAGCCCAGCGTGTAAAGAATAGCAGAAATGATTGCATGTAGTGATTGCACAACTGTAGATATTTAATGTAATGTCCTTAAAATAATATCCAGAATTACTTGTCATATCCAGTATTATTTTTCTGGACTTCGACTTGGTTTATACTTGGTTCATTTTGTTAGAGTGGTTTGTTTATAGAGATCAAACAAAAAACAATGTCCGAAATGGCTTTTCTCTCATCGGTCACTTTGGCATGTGTTTTCCTTGGAAGTATTTGGCGCTCTCACCCCTGCAGTCACAGCCAGGGTCATAACTGCAAGGAATAAGATCACGTTTGATAAACCGTCGGTAGTTCTGGGTGGCACAGAGCGCTTACGACGAGCTGCTGACGGCGTAAGACGGGGCATGAAGCGACCCTTTGTAAAACGGTTTCTCATACGATCTACGGGAACGGCAAGAGGTCACCCCTAGTTTGAAGATGAGTCTCCCCGCAGAACACAGAGAAAACTTTGCCAAACTATGGTGTTTCAGACTTAATGACGGCCTTTGCCAGAGGGTCAGCTGTTCGTCACCGTGGTGGCGTCATGGGCCATCACGACACTCTGGTGCTGTGCTGATGCCTGTCCACAGTTCTCTTACCGTTCGATTTCCTCCCTCTCGTCCCCCTCCCAACTGCTGTGTCACTTCCTGTTACCTGCTAATAGGTGCAGTCACAGGATCTCTTCGTGCCCACTTCTGAGACCGGAGGTCCCCTGGAGGCCAGGGCTCACCCTTCCTTGAGAGAAGAATTCAGTGCTGACAACAACATGGTGCCAGGAAAATCCTCGCCAGGAAGACAAATGGGCAGCCATGACCAAGCATTCAGAGAGTGAATTCATGTGCACACAACTGCGAACTTCAGATTTAAAAATCTGATAGAAACTGCATATCTAATACATTCAAGAAAAATAACGGAACGCTTGTGTTAATTAACTGCCAGACGTGCATCTATAATTTCTCCCCCAGACTTCTTGTTTGCATACACTTTGACTCATTATATGGTAACATTTTTATAATATATTTTTCTATCGTGAGAAGAGAAAACAATTGTTATTCAAGATGGATTTCTCTTTATCAATAACACCTTGTTATATCTAGTCACATGTAAAATGTTAGGCTCTTTGGAATACTTCTATCGACTTCCAATTATGTGTAAGCTGAGAAATTAGGATAATCACCTACATAGATCAGCTTGTGGATCTGTGTTTCTAAACTTCTCTACCACGCCCAGACGTTAGGGGCCGTGCTCTGCAGGGCCACCCCCCTCCAATACCGCATCTTGTCACCACATGGATGACGTGACAGAGGGAGGTAAAGCGCTCCCATATTGACAATAAGATACCTACAATAACATCGCTATACACGGATGTGACTGCAAGTCACACACACACATTTCTCTAAGCCCAAACTAAATGTATTCCCTCTTCGGCTTCCCCACTGAACTTTCCAGAATGCGTGCAGCCACTCCAACATCACTTCACAGGAAGGGAAATGTGATGGGGAGAGAGGGAAACAGAGTAAAAGAGAAAAGAGTTTTCACTGCACTCAAATTATTGACCACATTTTAGAAAACTACATGACTGTATGCAAGTGAGTGCCCCTGAAGGATGCGCTCCGTCAGCTCTGTGACGTGCCACCTCTGTACGGCTCAGCCTGTGGTTTGGGCTGGATAAGGGAAGGGCAGAGTTGGCTAAGATGGCTGGGCATCGGTGTCCTTTTCAAGGACCTGGAAACCCCGATGGCGGGAGGCGGTACTGGGCCGGGTGACCTTGGGCTGGGTGACTGGCTGGTGACCTTGGGGCTGTTCACTCCTCTGGGCCTCACTCATCTGTAAATGCAGATAGTAAGAGCACCTATATAGTAAGATTATTTTCACTATCGATCGTATTAATGCAAACGAAGCACGTAACAAAAGGCCTGGCCACCCACCAAGTGTTCAACAAAATTGTCGTTGCTGTTATTGCTGAGAGACCTGCTGAAACATGTCCTGGTCTTACAGCTCTTATGAATAAAGGCCTCTGTACATCTAAGATAAAGTTCTCACTGTTGTTGTGTATTATGAAACAAACCTGAGGTACTTCAATTTGTTCAAGAATTATGGAAAAAGTAGACTTTTTGTGGTCAGTAATCAAGGATGTTAATTAACTTGGGCTCTCTGATTTCGAGATAATGAGAAAAAGAAGAGTGTTTGAAGAACAAGTCCTTTTGAGTGTGTTGGTTGTTGCTAATCTATTTTTCTTTTGTCAAAAGAGATGATGATGGAATCTGTAAGGGGTCAAAACAACTAGAATCCGACCTCTGAACTTCCCTCCAGAGAATGGAGGCCGAGATCATGTGTCAGGATGCTCAGTACCGTGAGAGGAACCGTTGCCAGGGAAACGTGTGTTATGACCAGGGTATACGTTTCCTCGTTTGAGATTTCAGTTTGATTTTTCACTGCTTCACATTTTTTAAAGTTTTATAGAAATTGGGATTGGGGAAAGTTGTACAATAGACAAACATTCAGACAGTGTGGGTCCTGGAACTTCCCAGAATGTTTTACTGCATGGGGGTAGCAGCAGGTAAGAGGTGGTGTGTGAAAACGTGAAGCCAGCTGGACCCGGAACGTGGGATTTCACGGGCAGACACTCCCATAAATACAAAAAAAGCCTCTGCCAAATGCTGGTGCTTGAGAGCAGCGTGAAAGGATCATGTCTTAGAAAACAAAAATAAACGTAAACATGTATTTTTAGCTCTTGTGATTCAGTCCAAAGGAGAGCCACCAACGAAAGAATAGGACTCTAGAAATGGCGCGTGGCAATATCACAGGGCAGCTCACTGCCCTGACGCGGTTCCTCCCCAGCTCAGAGCCGCTGGACCCCGCTAGAGGACCCGCCGCTGCCCGCAAACGCCCTGGCTGGCCCGGGCCTGCAGACCGGCGCGTGATCGCGCTGCCACCCGCGGTTCGGGGCTAACACTTCTGAAATGACGGAGTTCGCATTCTTCTGCCCGTTACCCTTTCGTGGTGGTTGTTTTTCCCTTGTCCCCTGTGCTCTTTGGACTAAGACTGGCCGTGGGTCCTGTTGCTCCAGACGAGGAAGCTTCGTGGCGATGGGGCCAGGACGACGCAGAGGACCCTGCGCTCTCTCGACAGTGGCGGAGGCCGGAGGGCTCTGGGCCTGCCCTGGTGAGAAACGAGGTGACCCCCCAGCCGCCGCGGAGACTCTGGGGGTCCCTGCGGTCAGGCGGGCTGAGGTGTAGCCGCGTCGGCAGGTGGGGTGCTCAGGGGAGAGGGAGCCGGGTGCCTTAGCCTTGCGGCTCGTCTCGGTGTCGGCGAGAACAGGAGCCACCACCCAGGTTAACCAAGGGCCCTTGCGTGTAACTGTCCCTGTGTGTGTTCATCACTTCGAAGGGCGTTAGGAGAAGTCGGGTATCTTGAGGAGTCTTAGCCGTGTGTGAGGCAGGGTGGGCGGGGTGTCAGCAGGCGAGGGTGGGGACGAGGACCGAGGACACCGGGGCATCTGGCCGCCCCGCCCCCCGTCCGCTCCCGAAAGAGCATCTTTTCTGCGAGAAATCTGTGGGTCTCGGCAGAAGTTAGACGCGATTTGCCGCTGCAGTGAGGAGTGCCACGAGCTGGGGAGCATGCTGTCCCCACTTCTGTGTGGGGCCCACGGCTCTCTGCCCCTGGCCCGGGGGTCTTGGGGACACGCCCTTGGCTGGAGCACGGCGCTCCCGCGGGGGTGTGGGGTGAGCAGCTCCGAGCCCACGCAAGGGCAGAGGCACTGAGCTGAGGGGGGACGCGGACCAGAGGGGGAGGACAGGGCCCTCCCTGTGGTGTGGCTGTGAGTCAGGCCCCCACCCGCGGACACTGCCGGGGACCCCGATGTTCTGGGCAGCGCGTGGCCGCAGGGCCGGGGCACCTGGGGGCAGGTGGGCGTGGGGCAGTGAGCCTGCGGTGTCCCTCCGCGGCCTGAGCACGTCTGCCCACCCTGGCGCTGCCCGCCGCTCTCAGGGGACAGCCGGGTCACAGAACGTCCCCGTGGCCACCAGACGCGAGGGGAGACGGGCCTGAGCAAGCTCCGGGCTCGGGGAGGGCGCGTCACTGCCGTCTGCGGGGTGAACCCGGGTGG